GATTTAAATTCCTGGAATAGCGCGCGGGTGTAGAGGGCGCGGGCGTAGAGGGGGATTGGCGGGCCCCTTTTTACGGCTGAGCTTAAGAGATTCTTTACTTTAGGAAATTTCTCTCTGGATTTTTTCCTGGGATTTTGGGACTTAGAATTTATGTTGTTTGTACAATAAGGATTTCTGGGAGATAAGCTCTAGCATTCGAGAGGGAGAGCGGGTGCCGCCCTGTGATCCCAGCCATACATCTTGCCATTAATTTTCCTTTGAACCGAATGTTTCCTCTGGGAATACATTGCAAACCAGGTGCGTGATGGCGTTTGGTAATTAGACACAGCAATTAACGTACGCCCCCTTTGATGACGTGATCGGTGGGGCAATTATGGCGAATCCCAGAGGTAAATTGAGGAGAATATGCTACAGATTATAAATGAAAACAGGGCAACGATCTCTCGAACGCCAAGACAAAAGTTTTAGCCCGTCCTCTCTCGGTGCCGGTCGCTTAGATCACGAGATACAGCACGGCGGCTGCTACCGGTCGATATGTGGAGGCGGTCGCACAACACAGGGAACAGACCGGTTCGAAAATGGTGTTCTTGGTAATTTTTTTTTTTCAATCGAATCATATATTTTCTCTTCAGTCGGGAGGTATTTCGAGACGTTCGGAATGATTCGGATGATCGGGTGGAAAAAGGATATTTATATTTGGAAGGAGAACGCGTGCAATCGTGAGTTTCCATCTAGAAACACTTATATTTATTTACATTTTTTTACATAGGTTATTTTTCACTTGAATTGTATAAAAAGAAAATAATTTTAGAAAGAAATTCTTCGTTTTTCGTTCTGTATTTTCTTCCACGCTTTCACTCTCGTTTTCTTTCATGTCCAGCGTCCTCTGCAGTCCCTTATCTCCCCTTCCTTCCCTCTTCCACTTCCCTTCAGCTCCCCTCGCTTCCTCTTGCCTTCCCGCCCCCTCTCGCCTCCCCTCGCTCCGTCTCGCCTCCCCTCATTCCCCTCACTCCCTCTCGCCTTCCCTCACTTCCTCTCGCCTCCCCTCACTCTCTCTCGCCTCCCCTTACTCCCTCTCGCCTCCCCTCACGCCCTCTCGCCTCCCCTCACTCCCTTTTGATTCCCCTCATTCCTTCTCGCTTCCCCTCGCCTCCCCTCACTCCCTCTCGCCTTCCCTCCTCCCTCTCGCCTCCTCACTCCCTCTCGCCTCCCCTCGCCTCCCTCACGCCCTCCCGCCTCCCCTCCCTTTTGATTCCCTAATTCTTCTCGCTTCCCCTCGCCTCCCTCACTCCCTCTCGCCTCCCCTCACTCTCCCTCCCTCGCCCTCCTCACTCCCTTTTGATTCCCTCATTCCTTCTCGCTTCCCCTCGCCCCCTCACTCCCTCTCGCCTCCCTCACTCCTCTCGCCTCCCCTCACTCCCTCTCGCCTCCCCTCACTCCTCTCTTCACCCTCCGCCTCCCTCCTCCCTTCCCCTTCCTTCTCGCTTCCCCTCGCGCCTCCCCTCACTCCCTCTCGCCTCCCCTCACTCCCTCTCGCCTCCCACTCCTCTCGCCTCCCTCACTCCCTCTCGCCTCCCCTCACTCCCTCTCGCCTCCCCTCACTCATGCATCCTTTTACTGGCTTTCACTTTCCATCTCTTTTCACTTGTCACACATTCTTCTTCCTTTTCTAGTTCTCGATTTTTCCTTGTGGATCTTTTAAAACTTTTTTATTCCCTGTATCAGTTCATTGTCTTTGTCTTAATATGCCTTTCCGTTATTTTATTTTTTCTTGTTAATTGTCTTTACCTTTCTTGGTTCGTTTCTTTTTATCGTTGACTCATTTCCCTGGGTGTTACTTACACTCGTTTTTTATCGTTGATTATTCTCCCTCGTTCATTGTCTTTACTATTCTTGATTCGTTTATTTTTCCTCGTTGGCTTTTTTTTTCTCGTTTATTTTTCTTATTTTTATGTTGCTATTGTCTTATATTTCCTGGGGTATTTTTTTTTCTCTATGTTGACTTTTTCCTTGTTTTATTTTCCTGATTAATTTTCCTTATGGATATATTTTTTCCTCGTTTTCCTGTCCTTGTTTTACCATGCTTATCTAGATTTTTTTTTTCTTTTTACTCGTCCTTTTTTCCTTGTTTATTTATTTATTTTTTAATCTTAAGACGCCATTTTGTTTATCTTAATCCTTTTTTATAGTTATCTTGTCTTGTCTTGTCTAAACACGCTTTATCATTGATTTTTTTCCTTGCCTTTTTCTTGGTTGCATCGTTTTTGTCTCATCACACTTCGTTGGTTTTTCCCCTCCTCATTTTGTTCATCATTGCATCGCCTTGTTTTTTCTGCTTACTTCGTTCCTCATTGCATCGCCTTTGTCTCAACGCATTCTTTTGTTGATTTTCCTTCCTTATTTCGTTGCTCATTGCATCGTCTTTGCCTCATTGCATTATTTTGCTGATTTCCTCCTCCTTATTTCGTTCCTCATTGCATCGCCTTTGTCTCCACACTTTCTCTTGTTGATTTCCCTCCTTATTTCGTTCCTCATTGCATCGCCTTTGTCTCAACGCATTCTTTTGTTGATTTTCCTTCGTTATTTCGTTCCTCATTGCATTGCCCTTGTTTCATCACTTTTTCTTGCTGATTTCCCTCCTTATTTCGATCCTCATTGCATCGCCTTTATCTCAACACTTTCTCTTGTTGATTTTCCTCCTTATTTTTTCCTCATTGCGTCGCCCTTGTTTCATCACTTTTTCTTGCTGATTTCTTCCTCCATATTTCGTTCCTCATTGCATCGCCTTTATCTCACCATTTTCTCTTGCTGTATTCCTCCTCCTTATTTCTTCCTCATTGCATCGCCTTTATCTCACCATTTTCTCTTGCTGTATTCCTCCTAGTTATTTTTTCCTCATTGCATCGCCTTTTTCTCAACCAAAGACTATATACTTCAGGGGTGGCTAACCAGTCGATCGCGAGTGACTGATCGATCGACAGACCTATTTTAAGTCGATCACACTACTGTACCTGTTAATAGTTCGTCTTTTAGAAGTTGTCATGCAAATAACTGCAGACTTTTTGACTTTGACTTTGACTTAGAATTTTGACTTAGACTTTGACTAGACAGACTTAGCCTTAGACTTGGACTTGGACTTTGACTTTGACTTTGACTTAGACAGACAGCCTTAGACTTCGGCTTTGACTTCGACTTCGACTTCGACACTAGCCTCGACTTAACCCCCCCTGTCTCTCTCCCCCGCAGGTCGAACTCACCGGCAACAGCATCTACGAGTACATCCACCCTGCCGACCATGAGGAGATGACGGCCGTGCTGAACGTCACTCCACAACCCGTCCCCCATTCTCCCTACGTCAGACAGGGTGAGTTCATACCCTTCCCTCCCTGTTTCTCTGCTTCTCTGTTTCCCTGCCTCTCTGTCTCTCCTGTCCCCTGCGTCCTCCGTCTTTCTGTCTTTCTGGTCCCTGCCTCCTTGTCCTTCCTTCCCCCTGCTCCCTGTTCCTTGTTCCTTGTTCTTCCTCTTTTTCCCCTGCCTCCTTTTCCCCTCTTCTCCCTGCCCCCTGCCTCCTTGTCCTTCCTTCCCCATCCCCTGCCTCCTTTTCCCTCCTTCTCCCTGCCCTCTGCCTCCTTGTCCTTCCTTTCCCCTGCCCCCTGCTTCCTTGTCCCTCTTTCCCCCTCCCTTCCTCCTTGTCCTTCCATTCCCCTTACCCCCGTTTCCTTGTCCCTCCTTCTCCATGTCCCCTATTACTTGTCCCTACCCCCTGCCCCCATACCTCTGTGTGGAATTCGTGACTAACAGATTGCAACAGGAACAACGAAGGGAAGGACAAGAAAACACACGCATATGCCGAAGGCCTTTTCGCTAATGCTTCTCCCTGCCCCGCTTCCCTTCCTTCCCCTGCCTCCTGCTCTTTCCTTCCCCCTTGCCCTTGTCCTTCCTTCCCTTTCCCCCTGCATTTAGCGAAAGGCCTTCGGCATATTTCGTGTTGTTTCTTCCTCTCTGCAACCTCCCTTCCACATTTTACCTCCTTTTCGTCTGTCTTTTCCCCTCTTCTCCCTGTCCCCCTGCCAATTTTTTCTCTTCTCTTCACCCTGTTTCTACGTCAACCAGGGCGGGTTTTCCCCTTCGCCCCTGCCTCCCACCCCTCCCTTTTCCACCCTTCCCCTCCCGATTTTTCTACGTGAAGATGAGTTTTCTCCCTTCTCTCCTGTTCCCCTTGCACTCTTTTCCCTTCTCCCATCTTCGTACATCAACCGCCGACCACCCTATTTCCCTAGCCCCGCCCCCACCCCCCACACCCTTCCTTCTCCCTCGTTTACCCGACACAAAACTAGCTTCCTCCCTTTCGCTACGTAATCCCTGATATATCCTCCCCCCCTCCCCCTCCCCCTCCCCCCTCGACTTCCCCTCACTCTCCTTCCTGTCTATCATCCTTTTATTGGATACACAGAATGAGCTTTATCCTTCCCTCTCCCTCTCCTACTTTCCCCCTCCCTCTGCCCCTTCCATATCCTTATTCCTCATTCTGCCTTTCGTATTCCCCCTATTTATCCCCTTCTGCCTCCCCCTTGTCCCTCATTCTTCTGCTTTCAAACCCCTATCCCCTCTTTATCCTCGTTCCCCCTTGTGCTGCCTTCTCTACTCCTTCCTCCTGCTTCCTTTCCTTCCTTCCCCCTACCTCCGTGTCCTTCCTTCCCTCCCTCCGTGTCCTTCCTTCCCCTGCTCCCTGCCTCCAGCCTATCCCCTCTTTATCCTCGTTCCCCCCTCATTCTACCTTCTGTACTCCCCACTGCCCCCTCCCTTACCCATACCCTCATTCTGCGTTCTACCCTCATCTTCCACTTCCTTCCTCTCCCCTCTTTGCCCTTCCCTTATTCCTACCCCTCATTTGCTCCTTGTGTTCCCAACCTCTCTTTATCTCCTTCTGCCTCCTCCCTTATTCCTATCCATTCTACCACCCGCTCTACCTCCTCTTTATCCCCCTCTTCCACCTCCCCTCATCCTTACCCCTCACCTCCCACCCCTATTTCCTCTTTATCCCCCTCTACCTTATTCCTATCCCTATGCCTTCCACTCTACCTCCTCTTTATCCCCCTCTTCCTCCTCCCTCATCCTTACCCCTCAGTCTGCCTCCCACCCCTATTTCCTCTTTATCCCCCTCTACCTTATTCCTATCCCTATGCCTTCCACTCTACCTCCTCTTTATCCCCCTCTTCCTCCTCCCTCATCCTTACCCCTCAGTCTGCCTCCCACCCCTATTTCCTCTTTATCCCCCTCCGCCTCCCCTCCCTCATCCTTTCCCCTCATTCTACCCCGATATCAAAGTACTTCCGGTAATTCATGCTTTAAAAAAATGCGTGTTTGATCTCCTGATAAGCACTTGATATGCCAATGGTTCTCCAGTCTCCATAAATTAAATGGATCTCACTTGATTTTGAATTAAATTCCCTCGTTTTCCTTTTCACAGATGAGGAGATAGAGAGAACCTTCTTTATAAGAATGAAGTGCGTCTTGGCGAAAAGGAATGCCGGTCTTACCACAGGGGGCTATAAGGTAAGTTTTCCTTTGGGGGATTCCGTTCGATCCTTCCGGAGTTTTAGATTAACTGTCTTCTCGAAGAGGAAGAAGAATGCTTCGATTCTCTTTATTTTCTCTCTCGCTTCTTCTCTCTTTTCTCTCTCTGTTTTTCTCTTCTCTCTCTCTCTCTCTCTCTTCTCTCTCTCTCTCTCTCTCTCTCTCTCTCTCTCTCTCTCTTCTCTCTCTCTCTCTCTCTCTCTCTCTCTCTCTCTCTCTCTCTCTCTCTCTCTCTCTCTCTCTCTCTCTCTCTCTCTCTCTCTCTCTCTCTCTCGCTCCTCTCTCTCTCTCCCTCTTCCCTCTTCCCTCTTCCATCTCACTCCCTCCGTCCATCTTTCTCTTTTCTATTTCTTCTCCTTTTTCCCTCTCTCCCCGCCTCCCCTCCCTTCCTCCCTCCCCCCCCCCCTCCCTCCCTTCCGTTCCCGCTGCGTCATGGTGTACTGCAGGCGCCATTACCGTGATTCACAACAGCGCCGCCTTCCCATGTGCTTCAAATCTGATATATATTTTCCCTTTTGATTCGGCTTCGTATCTGAATGTCCGGTGGGTGGATATAAATTCGGTTTTTTAAACGTGCGCTTTTCGGTATCATCGGACAGGATAAACACAAAGAGTTTCGGAATGAAGCTACCGCCCCCCCCCCCCCCCCCCGCCCCCCCCCCTCCAGGCAATCGGCGTGAACCTTTGCAACCCCGAGATGTTCACACGCCGGGCGCTTCGAGAGATGAACAGACCGCTCGTCTCAAGATGGCGTCGAGCATCTCACCTTTACCCAAGACGCCATTTTGTTCTTGTTGTATTTCCCTTCTGCATACGTTGTACTGTAAGCACTAAGTCGGCTTATCATGCCATGACACATGTCGTTCGCAGCAGCCGAAGGGAATAACCACACAACGAGTAGCAATATAAAAAATCCGAGGTATATAAAACGTGCAATAATACCGCGTTTGCTCACTCACGCTGGTGACGTTGCGGTTTTCTTTCAGGGGAAGCTCATGTATATTGCCAAAAGATAATATTCTCGTCTATGCATGACTCCTCAAGTTTGAATTAGGTTTACCAGAGGCTCCCCGCCCAGACTCCCACTTTCACTGAACAACGGTATTCTGTTCTTGAACGCGGCGCCGGATCGATGCATGCTATTGTTTTAACGGATATTTCGGTATAAATAACAACCGTCACTCCTTGTCCAAAGCGTGCTCCAGTGTATATATCTTTACAACATCTATATAATAGAGTTCGGTTCAACTCTTACTGTAGAAGAAAAAAAAAACTAAAAATACAACTGAGGATCAAGATATATAGGCCTACATAGAAATGAATAGGTTTAGATGGCAAATGAAGCCTGTTGTGACGTTCCCGACATCGTGGTCTGACGGCGAGGGCGCGACGTGCAGGGACCCTCATCATAACAGAGGCTGCCTACGTAATGCCCTGGTTAATGTAAACAGTAATATGCTGCCCAGTCACTCTCACTCACTCTCACTATAAATTAATTCCCAGGCATGGTCTTCCAGGGAGCGATGCGAGAGAGGGAGAAGGTGTACGATAGAATAGATAGAACTGGAGGAAAATTAAAGTTGAATTATGAAGACAAGTCAGGACCGTCGCTTCCAACCATCTCTTGTTGGCCGCGTTCTAACCTATTTTTATTCGCTTTTCCTGGAGGTCGCGTCGTTGTGCTGCCTGCCTCCTTCGCTGGGCTTCCAGATTTCTAAATCGCGACAGATTTTGCGATTCTGTTTACGGTGCGATTTGCGTTAGTTTTATTCCGATCCGTAATTTGAATAGCGGCGGTCGGGACTGTTACATTAAATTGAAAACTGAACATAACGTCATAGCTTCGTTGCTCCGTTGGTCAACATGACTCATGCTCTGTTCAACCATGTTCGTTTGGATGCCACACAGTTGATTTTGCTACATTTATGATTTCGATATGATTCTCTTTAATCCAAACTTGCATATGCGTGAATGATTTAGCCGAGTTTCCATCAATAAACTTTTTTTTTTTACTTGAAGTCCGTCATTTTGGTTTATTTTAACAAGCAATAAGAAATCCTTCATGACAGTAAGCATAAGTTATGGTTCTAATCAAACTAATATATATATAATGTCGCACCGAAATATATATATAAAAAAACTAGGTTCTGAAGCCGAAGTCGTAATCAGGTGAGGAGTATCGAAGACGAGAGCCCCGGGCATGGCTATAATCTCTCCTGTCGGGCCATCAAGCACGTACGAAACCTCGACTAGCGCCCTCAACCTGGAATGTTAAAAAAACGTCGACTTGAATCCTTCGCTGAATTCCGGAGACGGGCAGAGCATGCGTGTATGTCAAGACTTCCGGTTCACTCTCGACTCCTATGAAATTCCAACTGTTATTTTTTTCCCAAGGAACTTTTTGTATAGCGAAAAAGACAGAAAGAGGAGAGAAAAGAGGTGATACGGACTGAGAGCGGAAAGTACACCGAGTGAGAATGACTTGCGAAAGTTTGACCTTCGACTTTCTGTGAGTCGGAATAGATCTTTTGCCTTGCGACTGTTTTTTTTTTCTTTCTTTTTTGGTGGAACATTAAAAGAATAAATAAATACAAAATAAATAAATAAATAACGGTTTCTGCGATTGATCGATGTCTAAGGAATATTTGAGGAATAAAGCTTAGTCAAGAGGAGGCATAGGAACATCGTATGTTTTACTTCTTTAAGTAAAGTGGAATATATCGTGTTTTTTTTCATAAGAAAGAAATAATAAAATCTTCACTTACGTCAGATCAGTAAAAAAAAATCGTGTTCTATTTGCTGGATTTTGTATAGAAAAAAAATGGACGTACAAACAACCTAGGGATTCTCACTATGCCCCCCCCCCCACCCTCTTCCTGAGTTACCGTTCTCGATTTTTTCTTTTCTTGTCTTTATTTCTATCATTATTATTATTACTCTCTCTTGGTATTGATATATGTATTCACTTCTATTTTCTTTTTTCGTTTCATTACTGTTTCTTCGTGGTTCCCTTTCATCTTTCATCTGCCCTTCGTTCCCCTCCTCCTTCCTACGCCTCTCTGCCCCTCTCTCTCTCCTCCTCCTCCTCCTCCTCCTTCCTCCTCTCTCTCGCTCCTCCTCCTCCTCCTCTCCTTCTTTCTCTACTTCTTTCTCTCTTCTTCCCGTCTTCACTTATTCTTCCTCCGTCTCTTCCTCTTCTCCCTCGCCGCGTCACTCATTATCCTTCCCTCTTCCTTCTTCTTCCCTTCTTCTTCTCCTTTTCTCCCCTTTTTCTCTTCTTCTTCTTTCTCTTTAGCCTTCGCCTTCACCTCCTTTTACACTCCTCTTCCTCTTCCTCTTCCCTCCCTCTTTATTTTCTTATTCTCCTTCTTCTCTCCATCTCTTCTCAACTCCCTCTCCGTCCCTCTTTCTTATTTTTCCCTTCTCCTTCGTTTTTTCTTCTCCTCTCTCCTCTCTTCTTTCTCCTACACCTCCCCCCCCCCCGCCCCTTCTTCCTCTTCCTCCTCTTATTTTCTTAAATTCGCTCTCTTCTCTCCACACCTCCTCCCCCTCTTCTTCTTCCTCCTCCCCCTCCTCCCTCCTCCTCCTCCTCCTCCTCCTCCTCCCCTCCTCCCCTCCCCTCTTCTTCTCCTTCGTCCTCCTTCTTCTCTTCCTCCCCTCCTCTTCTCTCTTCTCTTCCTCCTCCTCTCCTCTCTTCTTCTCCCTCCTCCTCCTCCTTCCTCTTCTTCTTCTCTCTCCTCCTCCTCCTTCCCCTTCTTCTTCTCTCTCCTCCTCCTCCTTTCTTTCTCTTCCCTCCTCTTCTTTCCTCTCTCCCCCTCTTCTTCCTCATCCTCTCCTCCCCCTCTTCTTCTCCCTCCTCCACCTCCCCCCTCTTCTTCTCCCTCCTCTCTTCCCTCCTCCCCCTTCCTCTTCTCTTCTCCCCTCCTCCTCCTCCCCCTTCTCCCTCCTCCTCCTCTTCCTTATATTTCTTAACTTCCCCCCTCTTTCTTTTTCCTCCTCCCCCTCTCCTCCTCCTCCTCCTCCTCCTTTATTTTCTTAACTCCCCTCCTCTTCTGCAGGTGATTCACTGCTCGGGTTACCTCAAGATCAAGCACTACACGCTGGACATGGCGCCCTACGACAGCTGCTACCAGAACGTGGGGCTCGTGGCCGTCGGACACTCGCTCCCGCCCTCCGCCATCACAGAAATCAAAATGCACTCGAATATGTTCATGTTCAGGGCCTCACTCGACCTCAAGCTGATCTTCCTCGACGCTCGGTGAGTTTGGGGGGGTTTAAGGGTTTTTGTGTTGTTTGGTTGGTTGGTTGGTTGTTAGGGTTGTGTTGTCGTTTGTTTTCTTTGGTTTTATAGTCGGTATTGTTGTTATTGTATGCGATATTGGTTGATTCATCATTAATGTTTTGCTGTTGGCAAAATTACTAT